GGAACAAATGAATAACAGTGCTTGATAATGATTCTTTCAGTCTCTACAAATTCATGATTCTATTTTCTGCTGAATGGGCATGTAGTTAAATAAAATAAGAATGGATATGCTTCCAAATTTGGCAGTATTTTTTTTTTACAATGGGCCATAGATGTGTTCTCTTTACTTCTTTATAAACAGCTAGTTCTATAAAGAAATGCAACATGATTTATTGAAAAAGTATTGATTTTAGAACAAAGTACAGTTCCCAATTTGTCCACTCAAATTTCCTACCTTTCCATTAATTTGGCTATAAAACTTGAATAGAAATATCTGTAAAACTTGGAAATTTTTGAAGTACCTTACAGGCTTAGAGGTGGAAAAAGAAAAATTGTTATGTTGCAGATGAAAAAAACATCCTTACAACTGCATTTTCAGGTTTTGCTGAACCCTCTTGCACCCTACCCCTAAAGTGATTGTGACCTTATAGTGTGGAGTTTCCTCTCACATCTAGTCATTTGTGTCAGGAAGAAAAGTAAAGAGTGAGTAAGTTAAGTGACAAGTTAAATCTACAGATGGACAAAGATATTGTAATGCTATTGCAATGCTATTCCATTGCAATGCTTGTTTTTGCAATATCTAGTCAAGTTTCATTTTCTGGTATAGTTAAAATGCTGTGGGAGGCTTACCTGAGACTAGAGGACATTGACCTTTGCAAAGTGTTGGCTGCTCCTGAAGAAACCTCACTGATGCTCAAAGGAATGGGGTGGGGTGACAACACACCCATGCAGTGACAGGAAGCCTCACAGGTGCAGAAGAGGAGGTGGAGGAGGCACCAAAGGCAAGGCATTTCTTTCTTGAACCAGATCCTGAGTTCTAAGTAAGTTTCCAAGCGCAATTGTCCTTCTTAGGAGCATGTAGACTGCTGAGTTTGATTTTCAGATGTAGGCTAGTGCTCACATCACCCACAAAGAAATGACTCTGTGTGGTTAAAAAAAAAGAAAAAAGAAAAGAAGTGGCCCATCACTTTGACAGAGAAGATTCAAGCACCTAATTAATAAAAATTTCTTTTGAATTTAAAGGTCATCCCTAGAAGAAAATTCTCTCTGATTCTGCAGAATAAATTAGAATCTTTGTATTTTTTCCCTCAGAACATTCATCCCAATTAAGAGGTAGCTGCGGTTTTCTCATAGGTAGAAATTTTGGATCTCTGAGTGAGAAGCCAGAAAGGTTTGGCAGAATGGAGTATTTTCCCACCTTCCCCCAGGTGCCATGATGGCACATCTTTTTAAAAAGCATCAATGAGGAGAAGCCCAAGGTTGTTTTTTAAAGTCAATGCCAAGTTTCTTATGGTGAGTGGACACTCCTCCAAGGTCTGACAATCTGTTAAACTTAATTTTCCCTATTGTAGTTCATATTTTTCATTATTGCTGGTGTTTTAGAGGAAAGCTTGAACAAGCTGGGGCAGTGCCAGCCAGAGGTCACCCTGAAGTGACTGCTGGAAGAGTGGATAAAGTGGGAGGTTGACCTGGGTTCAAATCATTATACTGGATCTGATTTTCCTCTCTTGTCAAATGGGTATTTGAACTCTGTGATTTCCATCTCCCCTCTGCCTGGTGTCCTGTACAGCTTGTGGTGCCATGTCTAAATTCATTGTTTTAATTTTGAGGACTTTATATTTTTTGTTCTTTTCTACCTAAAAAACAACTGTTTTTCCTAAATTAACTATTTACTTCTCTCCTAAATCAACTGCTAATTTTATTTTGAGTAAGATTTCTTACAAAATAAAAAAAAAAAAACATAATTTCATTCAGGGTCCAGAAATATTACTTGAAGATCTACTTGTCTCTTTTTTCTAGATAAGATAAATTTATAATGATATATTTCAAATAAGAAATTTAAAAATTAGAAATACAAGGATACAAACAATGTTTGGTGATATAGTATAATCTGCAGGTCAGTAAATGGTCTGTAAAAAATATTATTAAATCAAAGAGAAAATAGTTTGGAAAAAATTTTCCTGGAATTACACAATCTCCTTTTTTCTCAAAAATATGTCCATTTCCCCATTAGAACACAAAAGGGTATACTTGATCATAACCTTGTAGCTTTTAATCACAATAAAACCTACATCAGGATATTTAGCTATTTGAGCCAATGCACTTGGTATGAGATTTTCAACTTGCAGATGAGTCCAGTATGGCAGCCCAACCATCCTTCAAATCCACATGCAGTAGATTGCCAGTGTGTGGTTATGACCATTATATCTTATAAATAATCAAAATTTTAGCCCAAAAGTGATTACCTCACCACTGAAAACCAGAGGTAAAGTGATGGAAAAGATCATGGCTTGGATATAGTCACCAGCTATTAAAACCTGAAGATTCAATATACATTCCCTGGAATGGACCAGCTCAGAAGATGACTGGCCTAACCAGTAGCACAAGAAGGTCTTCCACAAAGCTTTTCCCCGTGGTTATCCTGTAACCTCAGAAAATTAGCTTCATTTCACAAGGGGAAGGAGAACAAAGAATTCAAAGAGGATGAGCGGGAGGGTGAGCAAGCTCACTCCCAATTATTCAGTGGCTCCCCACTGCCTCCAGGACACATGTGAATTTTTCATTTGAACACTTAAGGCTCCCACTGTCTGGGCCAGCTGACATTACAGCCTCACCCGCACCACAGGGAAAAATAGGGGATGGGCTCAGAGAGGTAAGCGGGAGCCAGACTAGTCAACACTCTGGCTTTGACTTCCAGTGAGGTGGGAGCCATTATAGGTTTAGAACAAAGAGTGACAAGATCTTCCTTATGATTTATTCAATTAAAGAACAATTCATCTTGCCCAAAATGTTTACAGAGACATTTTTTTTTTTTTCCATGCCAGATGTCCTTTATATATTTGGTCCTATCCAAAATATCCATACTTAAAAATCACCCCTCAGTTCAAACAGCCCACAACATTTATTTCTACTTTGGTTTACAGGATTCATACATAAAAATCATGCGTCCAGCCGATGTGGCTCAGTGGATTGATCATTGTCTAGGGACTGAGAGGTCCCAGTTCATTTCTCAGTAAGGGTACATGCCCAGTCTGTGGGCTTGATCCCTGGCGGGGGGGGGGGGGGGGGGGGGCATGCAGAAGGCAGCCGATCAATGTTTCTCTCTCACATCGATGTTTCTATCTCTTTCCCTAAAAAGTCAATGAAAACATATTTAAAAATACTACCATGTTTTATAGGTCCAATAATTTTGTTGTGATTGTATTGCAGCTAATAACCCTTGTCACTTCAGTATCCTAGCAGGTAATGACACATGGAGTGAGGTGGATGGGTCGGTGTGGGCTAAATGTCTCCATGAACGTCTCCATAAAATCCTGCAAGGGTTTTAGTCTTACTCATTTTTCTCAAATACACCCTACATTTCCAGGATATGAACTCCTTCGCCCTGATGGGGTCTAAGTATCCCTGCCAATAGCAACCTTATTCTACCTTTAGTGTCCCTCCTACATAAAGTCACCTTGATTCCTCAGTAAGATGTTGCTCTTCCTCCACCTCTCATCTTAAAAATGCCCAAAGTACTTGGCTTAGGCCAAGGTTTTGAATTTTCTGCCTTGTGCTTACTATTAGGAGTTAGATGACAACATACATATGTCTTGTTTTGAACCTCAGCTGGATTGCAAATCTTTCAGGCATGGTTTACATTTTATATGGCAAAACAGTACTATTATTTCAACTGTGAGAGAGGCCAGGTGCCTCCACAAACTCAACTCAGCTTCTAGGCCCTTGACTATATGACAGCCAGATACCTATCAACAGTTTCGCCAACAGGCACAAAGTTTGTTCATCCACATTTTAAATATAAAATGAGGAGAAATAGTCATGTCTTAAAAGTTAAGACCGTCTTGGTCGGTTTGGCTCAGCGATTAGAGCGCTGGCCTGCGGTCCAGAGAGACCCAGGTTTGGTTCCCGCTAAGGGCGTGTACCTCTGTTGCAGTTTGTCCCCGGCCCTGGTTGGGTCCTGTGGGTGGCAGCCACTCAATGTGTCCCTTTCACATCAATGTTTCTCTACCTCTCTCTCCCCCTCCCACTCTATCTGTGGAAAAATGTCCTCAGATGAGAATTAAAAAAAAAAAAGTTAAGACCAATCTGGAAACAGCCCAAATGTCCCTCAATAGATAAGTGGGGAAAAAAGCTGTGGTACACATACACAACAAAATACTATGCAGCTATAAGAAAGAAAGATATCTTATTCTTTGAGACAACATGGAGGAACCTGGAGAGTATTATGCTAAGCAAAATAAGCCAGTCAGAGAAAGACAAGTATCGCATGATCTCACTTATTTGTGGAGTATAATGAACAAAATAAGCTGATGAACAAAATAGACCTAGAGACATAGAAGTAGGGTTCAGACTGACAAACCTCAGAGGAGGGGGGCAAGGGAAGGAAAGAGATTAGACTGAAGAACTTATATGCATATGTGCATAACCAATGGACATAGACGACAATGCTGTGGGGCTGGGGGGCGGGGGGATAGGATTGGGAGGAGGGTATCAATGGGTGAAAAAGGAGAAACATCTGTAACAAAAATAAATTAATAGATTTCAAAAAACAAAAAAATAAATAAATAATAAAATTTAAGACCAAATTATCATTCAACCAGTTTCTTTCCAACTAAACTTTTTTGTACATAAACATCTATTGTTATTCTTCAGATAAAATTCTGCAGAGATTCATTGTCTCCATGCATTTGGGACTTGTTTTATATTGCTCCATCATCTTTGTTGTCTTTATTTGCTACATTTTTTTTTTACTTTCCCCACTAAAATGTAAATTCTTTTAGCATGGAGTTCTAACAGAGTTATTTATAAACCTACCTGTCCCCTTACCTACAAACCCTTGCTCAAAAAATATTTGCAAATGGAATATTTGCATGGATTTTTCAGGTATTGCTCTAGTCTTCAATTGCAAATGAGATACAAAAGGCAGAGGACTAAAGGTAAACTTCTGCCTCTCTTATACAGGATTTTGTGCCGCTGTACCAAAACTTTGAGAATTTTTACACACGAAACCTTTACATGAGAATCAGAGACAACTGGAACCGACCCATTTGCAGTGCCCCAGGACCTCTGTTTGACGTGATGGAGAGGGTGTCAGATGACTACAACTGGACATTTAGGTGAGACAGCCACCTGGAGGGGCTTGATTGAAAAAAATCCTTTCTAGGAAATTCTATCATAGGCACCAGATTACAAATCTGAAAAACTAAAGCATGGCAGCAACTGGTCTTCAATCGTTCAGCCTTCTGCAAGCCCTCATATGCCAGTGGGGCAGTCACAGCAATCATGCTGCCAAGCGTGGCTTGTTTATATTACACAGGTCAGAAGTGCAGGATATACAGAGCCAGCAAGGAAGAGCCCGTTTCAGCTTTATCAACAAATTATATCCTCCTACTTCTTGCTGAAGGAGACAGTGATGACCATGGCTTTTTCTCATTTAGAAAGTTCTTACTAGGACTTAAACCAGAGTACATTGGTTTCATGAAAGTGAGTGTCCAAGGAAAATCAGGGCTAAGTAATATTAGGTGGCTTGGGATACCTTTTGTAATATTATACCCAGCTTCACTGTGGGGATACTTTCCTCTAAGGACAAATCACTTTGTGGTGACAACAATGCAAGTCTAAAAAATTATATGTTATTTGGGCCAGACCCAAGATCTTTCTGTGAGTCTTTTATGGGGCACTGGGATGGTATTAAGTGACAAAGCCCTTTGTGCTCATTGGCCCTTCTCTCTGCAGGTTCACTGGAAGAGTCATCAAAGATGTTATCAACATGGGCTCCTATAACTTCCTTGGCCTGGCAGTCAGGTACGATGAATCTATGAGGACAGTGAAGGATGTTTTAGAGGCGTATGGCGTAGGTGTGGCCAGTACCAGACATGAAATGGGTATGTATGTTCACTATTTTGAAATTTTTGTCTAGTTGGGTTTCAGATTTCCTGTGGCCATTTCTCAAATCCAGATCTTATCTAGACAGTGTGCTTCAAAAAGCTATTATAAAAGGGAAAATGTATATGAAAGTCTTTATGGAAATATCTAACATTATGCTCTTGCCAAGTAGTTTATTAATTACAGATTTTAGTTCTTCAGAATAAAAAAAAAACAGGATCTTTCCTGACCATTAATATCTAAAATAGAAATTATTGTCTCTTTTGACTGGTCCCTTTCTGGGTCCTTTGTCACAACTTCTTTTTCTTTTTTAAACAGCTTTATTGAGGTATCATTAAAATTCAAAAAACTGTACTTATTTAATATATACAATCTAATAAATTTGGACATATGCATTCAGCCATGAAACCATCACCACAATCAAGAATAAACATACCTATTACCTCAGAAAGTTTCTTTGTGCCCAACCTCTTTTTATAGTAAGAACACTCCATGTGAGATCTACCCTTTTAACAAATTCTTAGGTGCACAGCACAGTGTTGTTAACTATAGGCACTGTGTTGTACAGAGGATATCTAGAACTGATTCACTTGCATAACAAACGTTATACCCATTGAAAAATAGCTTCCCATTTGGTCTTTTCCCCACTTTTCTGAATGATATCTATCACTGATCTTGATTTGTATATTGCTTGTCTCTGCTACTAAAACATAAGCTTCATTAAGGAAGGAACTGACCTGTTGACTGTTGAGTGAATAAATGAATGAATGGGCAAGGTGGAACAGACTGCTTAGTTATTTCTTTTTTAGCTGAAATATTCTCTCTCAGTCAGAGGAACAATGTCAGTAAGAAGGAAACTGTTACGCCACTTCTGGGAGGAAGAGAGATGTGAACATCCTCCTATAGAGTTCACTGCTATTCCCATAGAGCAGTGGTTCTCAACCTTTCTAATGCCGTGACCCTTTAATACAGTTCCTCATGTTGTGGTGACTCACAACCATAAAATTATTTTTGTTGCTATTTCATAACTGTAATTTTTCTACTGTTATGAATCGCCATCAGAAATATGTGTTTTCTGATGGTCTTAGGTGACCCCTGTGACAGGGTCATTCGACCCCCAAAGGGGTCGTGTCCCACAGGTTGAAAACCACTGCCATAGAGGAACAATCTAAAGATTATAGTGATTAAGTGATGGGCCCATGGTGGCTTATTAACTCTTAACTCCCAGTGTAGCTCAGCAGTTTATACCATAGCAATTTCCCATCCAGGATAAATATGCAAGCCTATCTAAGAATCAGAAGTAAATATGCTAAAAAAGATTTACCATTAATGAAAAATGAGTCACAACATAGATAGCCAGTTGGCAGAAGGGTGTTAAAAACTGTAATTATTCAGATCTGTATGATAGGTAACAACTCAAATTGAGTGCAGTAACTTTTTTATCTAAATAACCAGTAAATACTTAGCTAAAGCTCTGGAATTTATAAGTGGTTGCCCAATTTTTTTAAGAAAGATGTCTTATCTTCCTTTGAGGAATGAGGGCTGGAGGTCTGGAAAGCAGGAATAAAACAGTTTTACTTCACTTAGATATAGATTGCCCATAATGCCCTATTTGGCCGTAAGGCAGAGACTGGAAAAAGACCCTGGTCATAAGAGACATGGAATCAGTAACCTCTGGGAATGTTTCATATGGTGCTAATGGCAACCAACACCAGGATTATTAATGAACCAGACAGAAAACATACTCCTGAATACTATGACCTGCCCCCTTCCCCACAACTCACTAAGACAGAACATTCCCCCATCACAGCCCGCAGAAGCTGAAGGGCAGGAGCTTGACACAGGCAATGATTGGCCTCCATTGGAAGCCGCATGTGGAATACAGGTCCCTGATTCCGCAGGCTCAGCAAACCCGGAGAACCAAGCAGAGGTGATGATCCCAGCTTAAGATGCTTATAGCCTCAGTTCTCTCCCTACCTACCCCCTTCTGAATAGGTGGGCTTTTAATATTTTCCTGCTTCATTGAGATCTCCAGCTCAAGCTCTCGAAAGTATATTTTAAGTTTTCAAGTAAACAGTGAGAGAGCAAAATAGAAGCCACCAACACTAATTTTAGGCAAATAAAAGGACTGGAAACAAGGATATAGGCAATCCAAAATAAATAAGTAAACAGGATACATTTAAAATACTTCTGAAACAAAAATATTAACCTTAACATAACATGCAAGAATTAGTAGCATAATTTTGAATGGCATTTATTTCAAGAAATACAAGTAACTTTTGGCAAAGTTATGCTGTATAGTCTTAAGAAAATGTTTAATAGTGAAATGGATTGACAATAAAAATTTGATAATACAGAGACTCAATTTTTAGTAACAAAATAGCTACTTGAGAAACCAAAAGTAAATGTTCAAGAATGTTTAATCACTTACAAATAACTCCCAGAGTTTTTAAAAATAGTTTCCAAAGTCCTGGGGGTGGGAGGAGAACACAGAAATTACATTACAAAATAAGAAAATTAGGCAAAAAAGAATAAATACTAAGAGGAAGTATTTAAAACATAATAAAAGGATAGAAGACCACACATGTTATTTTGACCAAAAATATGTAACTAGAACATATTTGCCTACTGAAAGAAAATAAACTAAGATTTGGCCAAAAATCTAACCTCAACTATGTGCTGTAATAAAAAGTAAATGAAACTAAATTAAAATTATTGCAAAAGATAAAAGTAGAAAGGTAGGTCCCCGCCAGGCACCTGGTTCCTACCTCCCTGGCTGCACCTCCACCAAAATAACTCAGTGCCCAAGAGGGAAGCTGATTTAGTGGAAGGAGCAGCAAAAAAGGTGTCCAAGGTGCAGTCTAAATCTGCACCTGCAAATGTTCAAACTAAGCCCAAAATATAGTAGGATTACAAATGCTGTTTCTAGAAACCGAAATTATGTGTTGCTGTTCATTTTTGTGTAGAACTAAAAAATAGTAAAATATAGAATTAAGGGAGGCATTGACCTTTTTTTCCATTTATCTTCAGATAGAGTAGGGGTTGGGGTGGGTGGGTGAGAGAGAGAGAGAGAAACATATGGAACAGGGCTGGGGACTGAACTACAACAGAGGTACGTGCCCTTGACCAGAATCAAACTCAAGACTCTTTCATCACAGGCCAATGCTCTAACCACTGAGCCAAACCGACCAGGAATGCTTTGACTTTCTTATGGGTCATTTTAACAATCCACAGGCTGAGGGTGCTGGGAGGGTTGTGCATTTTTTATATCCTGAATACAAGGCAGAATGAAATGGCAATTTGAAGTCATAATCAAGCATTTAAAATGTCAAACATTTTAAATTTATATCTTCCACATTCATGCTGTTTTTGTTAGAATGCTCCCTGATGTAGGCTATCTCCTTCAAGTTGTGTGCAATGTGTGAAAACTTTGGTAATTACAGCATGGTCTTTCCTAATAAATTTGTTAATGGGCTGTGAAAGATTAGAAATCTTTGAAGGTTTTTCGTGTGTGTGTGTGTGTGTGTGCGATAGTCACTAGAATGACTACAAACAGATTCTACATGGATCTTTATTTAGACTTTCAGCACTGGGACTGAGAAATGTGTACAAATTGTTCATAATGCCTGAATATTAACACTAAGTAATAATCAGTAATATCACATTATGCAAGATAGTTCCACATTAATCTTTAAATTTCTTTACCTAAAAGAACTATTTAATTTTTTCTGTATGTGGAAGATGTTTAAAAAGAAAAACATGGTGCAGAAACTCACGAGGCAAAGTAAATGCATAATTGCTTGTTTTATTTTCATATGAATTAAGCTTCAAGTAAAAAATAAACTGAAAGTTAAAACCAAATTAATAACAACCTTAATGTGTGGTGCAAATGGGAACAAAAAGGGAAGCAGAAGTTAAGCTCAACTTATAAATCATTAAAGATACTCACCTTTGAGCAATTGTACGGAGAGCCCATAGTGATGAAAGGTATGACTCTTGTATCCTCTATGCATCAAGTAACACAGCAGAGACATATATAGCTGTTTATGTTTCCGTACAATTGAAAATTAGTAGGATAATGAATATAGAAGGTTCTGAAAATCATGTGGATCGATTTAAAATTCCACAAGCTGATTAAAAACAAAAGCAAGAAAAAATAAAAATGAAATAGTGATAGGAGATTATAAAGTACCTCCTAGTCCTTGAAAAATAAAGAAGAAAATAAAGACAGAAGATATTAATATGTACATGTTGAGTTGAATTTAACATTGATATAGTGAATGCTGAACCTTTAAGCATATTGTCAGTATGCTACATCTTTTTAAAGTCATTGAATTTTCACAAAAATATGCTACATATTATGCCACCAAAAAACTCATTACATTTCAAAAAGCGAAACCTACATAAGTCACTGGATTCTTGAATCAGAGTAAAATAATGCTAAAAATTAATAATAAAATTAGAAACAAACTCTTTTTTAATTTATTTTTGTTACAGATGTTTCTCCTTTTTCCCCCTACTGATTCCCCCCTCTTACTCCCTCCCCGTCCTGTCCCAAGCTTTGTTGTCCATGTCCACTGTTCATGCATACATGCATATGTTTTGTGGTTTGCCTCTCCGCCACCATCCCCTCTTCTGGGGATTGTCAGTCTGTACCCCACTTCCACATCTCTGGGACTAACCCATTCCTCAGACTGTTATGGTCATTATATTCCACAAATAAGTGAGATCATATGATACTTGTCTTTCTCTGTTTAGCTGAAATAAACTCTTTTAAAAAATAAGTTGAGGGTTTTAAGCCATCTCCTAACAGGCCCTTGAATCAAAAGGGGAATGAAGTGTATGGTTACATCATAGTTAGAAACTAACAATTATGGAAACCCCATAGGACCTAGGTAGCTGTGTACTCAGAGGAGCATATATTCTTTCTTTAAAAAGAAGGATTGAAGCTAATAAATTAAGCATCCAGTGCAGTACGAAATATAAGGAAAGCAAAAGT